ACGGGCAAAGATTTGTTTTTTGTTTTTAAATGTGAACCGTTGATGGACGATTAATACGTCGTAACTCAAAAAACTGAGTGAGAGTGTCTAAACCACAGTATGAACATTATAGTCTATAATTTAGTTTTTGGTTAGAAAAAAATTAAGTCTGCTAGCCTTGTACAAACAAATAATTTTTTTTTCTACTTAATAAAAAGTTTACAAAAAGTGTGTATTAACTTTTAACTTAATTGAGTTAACCTATAGTTAAAGTAACTTTTAGCTTTTTGTTATTGATAGATATATTAACTTAACTGCACTGAGTTAAAAAAAATCATTAACTTACCCAGCCTTGGACATTAATACCTATCATACATTATATACTTTAAAAGAAATCAGTTTTTTTAGATTTAAATTATTGGATAAGCAATGTACTAATAATTTGTTTACTAAATGGTATTTTTGCACACATTTGTTATATTGTTACTTATACAGTTATACATGTTCCTATGTTTCTCATTTTAATATATACTTTGGATTGAACTCCCAATAAAAAATTAAAAAATATATGAATATTGTGTAATATATTGTACAATGCATAATATTTATGGCTTCATAATATTTGAAATTCCTGATTGTTTTGACGCGAGTCCATGTTGACGACTTCTTTTGATTTTTGCCATTCTTCTTCTTAGTTGTAATATAAGTAATTTTTTTTCATCAAACTATAAAATAAAATATAAACTGTTTTAATATGTAACTAATATACAGGGTTTTCCATTTAACTTAAGACACTCGTACTTTCAGAAAATAAATGTTTTGAAAAAAAAATTTTACATAATATTCATTTGTTACAAAACAATACTTTTTATCGTAAGTATTATACAATATGCCATTTTAGGTTTTTTTTAACCTTTTGAATTAAAACATATATTTTTAATTACATAAGCATAATATTATTTGGAGTATTTCCACACTCATTCGTTGAAGTTTTAAATACTTATAACTGGAGCACAGATTTGTATGCATATAATATAATATATATAATATAAAATGCATAATAACCAACTATAAAGGCTCTAAAAAAATCTTAAAAATTCATAAATATATTAATATATATATTATGCAATGAAATGTCCAAATATGCACTCAAAAATTCATTTATTTTCTGAATGTTTAATTTAAAATTATGGAACGCTACGATTAATACTTTTTTTTTATAATATCTGTATTTTGTAGGTAGTTTTAATCTATAAGATAAATAGGAATCAATTAAAAGGATGCCACAAGGCCATTTGTTGTCTTCGTCCAACAAGTGCGTAACATTGAAAATTTACTCACAGCAGATAATGTTTACCTCAGTTGGTTTAAAAATTAGGGTGGATCGACCTATTATGAAACTTGATGGTGAGAACATTATCTATGTAACCAACATACAAACACAGATTACGTTCTTGCCATATTATACAATAGTTCAATTTTTTTAACAAATTATGCGTACATAATATAAGATAAATTAAAAATGCTCATGACTCACTTAAATACTATATAATTGTAAGAAAAAACACCATACGAACACAGTTAATGTTCTTACCATAAGTTTTATAATAGGTAGATCCACTCTAATTTTTAAACTAAGAGAGCTAAACTTTATCTGCTAAGCATAAATTTGCTAAGTTAAGCACTTGTATGATAGAGACAACAAATGTCTGTGTGGCGTCCCCTTAACATCAAAAATGTTTCCTTGAAAGAATTTATTTAGTTATATAGCTACTTAAATAATATTCTGTAAAGAAAAAAGTAAGAAAAAAATTAATTCTCTGGGAAAACCTTTTGTGCCCACTTAGCATACCAGACGATCAATCAGAAGAAATATGCAAGTTCATACAAATAGAGCTCTAATTATAAATCATAAACTACTTGTACAAAATCTGATTTCAATATATTTAGGTATTCCAAAAAACATTCCGCTTTAGAATACAGAACTAAAAATGTATGTTATAAATAAAAAAAAATAAAAATTAAAGTGAAAGAAAAGTAAATCATATATATTTTAAAAACCTTAATATTTTTTTAAAGAACGAGTGTCTTATTTTAAAACTTAAGATCTTCCAGTAAACTCACTGTGTTGTCAAAACTTTCCATCATTTTGTTTTTAGCTTCAACTTTTGCTTTCATTCTTTGCAAATGATCTTTTACCAACCCTTCACAGCCAGAACACATATTGACTAAACTATTTTCAAAATAGCCTAAACATTGTTTAAAGACAAATCCACCCCTACCAAAACATTTTTCAATACTATTGACTTTTTCTAAGAGATCTTCCAATTCTTTCTTTGTTGTGATAGGTGTTGTATATTCATATTTCTTGCCATATATTTGTATAGTTGGTACAAGGTTATTAAAAAAAAGGACTATCTTCACAGTTACATTATTGGAGTCTCGTTGATAAAACCGTGTTGCATTTTTTCCATTAAGATGTTCACTATTCCAATCTAAACTAGGAAGTACAACTTTCTTAGCCATTTTAAAAATAAACCCATGTCCGCCAATAGTAAGATCTTCAGTATTGCAAACATCTGTTATAATACATTGTGAGGTTCTTTTCTCAATTGGTTCCAAAGTAATGGACAACGAATCATTAGATGAATCATCAATTGTAAGGTCAATTATCATGGAAGTATTATCTGAAAAGTTATTCATTTTTTCAGTATTTAGTTATAATGTTGGATTTAAATTACATGTTAAAATGTATTTTAGTATGAATTTTTTACATAGTACCTTTTACGTTGTTTTGTTTTTCTTCTGATGACGGTTCAGCAGGTTCATTATCGATTGGACGTATGAATTGATCTTCACATGTACTCAATACAGGGCCAGGCAATGCATTAGGGGCTAATGATTTGAAAAAAAAAATTTAATTTTAAATTATTATATAGATTTTAAATACAATTTTATTATAAAAAAGAAATATAACATCAGAGAAAGATTATTTAAAAGGACATTCCCAAGTCATTATCTATATTTAAAAGGGAAAATCACTAATTTAAGCATGTTTATCCAATAAAAATATGTAAGTTTTAAATATTCCGACGTCATTAAGGATAGACTTTTGAAAATTAATATGGAATTAATTAAAATCAAAATGTTTTAATCAATAATTACATATTGCAATTGCAATAAAATGAAAATAAAAATAGAATATTAATTAATAGTTAAAAAGTTAATACAAAATAAAACAACAAATAATAATTTTTTTCTCACCGTTATCTAAAAATAATGAAGGAACAGCGTCTGGTTTTAATCTGTTCTTTAATTCAGTATTTTTGAAACAATCGATTTCAAAATGAGTACTACAAACTCTTGTAGTACTCATTACTATTTTAGAGGGATCTATTTTTATTCCACACTTTTCTATCCACTTTTTCCTCAGCGTGAAATCCTTAGGATAGCCAAAGAAACTAAGGTTCTTTGAAAACCTGTTAAAGCAGTTTTTAACGGAACATTGTAATCCTGATCCTAAAGTATGGTCCTTTAAAATATAAACACATAATTCATATTAATATTAGAAACAGCCAGGTTGCCAATCATAAAGTACAAATTAAAATATAATATGAGCTAAATACATATTTTAGAAACATAACATTCAATAGTCTAGTTTTTATAGTCTATATATTTAGGATAGTCTAAAGACTATTTTTTGTAGAAACTAGAGGGCATGGATCCTTCTATGTCTTTGTAACCAAAATAATGAACTACAGAGTACTGGTTGTGAATAACATAGAATCAGTATACTAGTAACTACTATAGAACACTTGATGACCTAGCTAATCTTTCCCAAGCATTGCAATATTGTTCAGGTATACGTTAAGAACAATTATTGATATTTACAATCAATGATTCTCAGTACTTCGTTGGCTGTACAGTATATGATGCAAAACAAGTTGTGTGTACATATTTATTCGTATATTATAATACAATGAACAGCCTACAAGATGATTATTTCCATACAGTAAATATAAACACAGCTTTATTAGGGCGTTAATAGTTGACCATTTTTTTTGATTTTATATTTTACGAAATATTGGTTTATTTTATGTACACATTAAAGTATAACAAAAATGTTCAGTTGCTATTTTAAAATGGAAATTCATACTGTCACGTGTAATGAAAGGGAAGAATTGTATTATCTATACATGGACAGCCGCAACGAAAACTGTCGTAACTCAATTTTACAAATTTTTTTTTTCAAACTTGTTTACTATTGTTCTGGATAACCAACAAAACTTATAGTAGCATAAATCAACCAAAGACGTTCTGTACAATAAGATACAGTTACTGCGTCTTCGTTGGAAATTCAGAAAAATAGTAGGATTGGTTTTCTTTTCACAAAAGACCTTGACACTCTAGCTAAATGCTTAAATGAATCACACAGATCCCCGATTAATTACAGTAGATATTTCCTAACAATACATTAGTAGTAGCTAAAGAGTTTTACAAAAAGAGTACACACATTGGTGGTCAAACTACTAACTATTTTATAAATATAAGTGGACGGGGTGCCGCCACTGGGTGACTTCCCCCTCCTGTTTACCAAAAATCATCCCATTTACTTATTGTATCACTTGTAAATACAGATTGTAAATATATTATGTTTGTTCAATAAAAAAAAAAAAAAAAAAAAAAAAAAGTGGACAAGAATAATACTGATGTATAATTAGAAGCACTAAATTACTAAAGAAGAGAAACCAGGACGTTGAAGACCAAGGCCATACATATTCAATAAGGAAAGCATGGAAAATCATAAAAAAGATAAAGATATCACACTGTATTGACAATGTTTATAAAAAATATTAATACTTATTTACTGATAATACTTATTTATATTATAGTAATACTTATTTTGTTCAATTAGTAAAATTACATTTTTTCCAATTTTAACATCACTTTGAGTAGCATACCTATATAAAAATAAAAATATTATTGAAAATGAAAAATTAAATTATAGAGATCCAGAAGTATTACTTAGAAGGAAAACCATTTTTATCATAAGGTTGGGGGATAGCATTTGAAAACAATAATCGCTTTTTTCCAGGCTTATAGTTTTCTTCCAGAAAGTGTTCACTACATATACGTTGCCAATCATAACAACGATCAATTCCTAAAACTTTTAGCCATTTTCTTCTCATGTATGCATTCTTGGTTATTCTATATTAAAACAAATATTAATAAATACAATAAATTGCGGTTTTTTTTTTCAAAACAGTTTGAGCGAGTAAATTTCTAGAACCAATTAATACTCACCCATGAAAAATTACTCCTGGACGATTGACATTGTTGTTTTTAGATTTATTGCCGCACACTATACACGTATGCATTTTTATGCAGTATTGAAGTTAGCCTTATCAGTAGACTGTTACCTGTATTGTACGCAGTGGGAACTCGGAAAAGAGGACTTGATCAATGGACGTGAGTAGCCTCGATCACTCAGTCTTGGAATGTATACCGGTATCCTATGGATGATTGTATTTTGAGGTGTACGTTTTCTCGTGGTGTACAATCCAGTCATCTGTAGAATAGTTGGGTGGTTAGATATCACTTTTGTCATATTTTTATAAAGATATAGTATGCTTTAAGTATAATTCGTACATAAGTCTACTGCAATCTTGCCGAGCACTGTACAAAGCACAAAAATGAAACGCAAAAAAACACGACTTTCTGATTTCACAGTCACAGAATATTTGATGGGATATTATTAATTGTATTATTAATAACAATGAGTGTTCGAAAAGCGCCTATTTATTATTTAGCCAGACAAACACACACGAGGTAAAAAAAATAACGATATTCTTTATAACCTAAACCACGAGGGAAACGAAAGACAACCGACTGGCGACTGTCGTGGGTAACGAACTCGTGTAATCACGGTGTTGGATTATAAATCGGTAAAGAGTACTTTTGTTCGTTCCACCGTACATAGTTACAAATTACCAAATGGCCCCCAACAGTAGGAATTCTGTTCGTTCTACCTCCAAGGACGCCCCGTATCGTTAATACGTCTTAATACTACGGAAATTATCCATAAAATAAAAATTAAAATTGTCATAAGACAGTAAAAAAATGATCAAAGTCATCCCATTGCACGGTACTCAATTAGGTGTCTAATATGTAGGTAGGCATTTGTGAACATCACTTATTAGTTATTAGGTAATTGTTATACCTTGTTCAGTCGCTTGTCGAGTGTGATACGATGTTAAAATAAAATTTTATACTTACCTACGTACCAAGTGCCAGCTACACAGCATTACGGTATAGGTACTATTATTGGTCGAATGGGCCAACTTGGTGCAAAAATATTATCTTATATAGTTTCACCTCTATAACTGTGTTTTGTCATATTATCTCAACACTTATTAGTTATTACGTACCACTCTGGTAGGTACTATAGCTGGTAGGTACCTACCTAGTGTAGCAGCATCAAATTTTAACTAATTAAATAGGTAGGTACCTAAGTGGACACTCCGGCACTCGAGATGATCACTTATTACCTACCTACCTACTAATTTTCAAACACCTATATAGATTACTTGCAACATGGTATTTCTTTTTATTTCACATATTAAATATTTCTAGTAACTGTATTTACACATCTAAGTTGCTATGCCGTATACAATGCTGACAATGATGGGTAATATAAAATCTGTTTCAAGTCATCACAATTAAATATATGCAATTTAATTTTGCGTATTCGATGTAGGTAATTAATTAATTATAAAATAGGTAGGTACTGTGATTACAGTAGGTTCGTTAGTCAGTATAAAGCTGTACCCACTTGCCCACTTTATTATTTATACGTTTATCATTCGTCTTAAAAGAAAATTTCAATAAACGATATTTTATTTAGGCACTCACAATATTCAGTCACTTGTGGAGTGTGATACACGGTTAAAAATATAATATTATGTACCTACCTACGACCTACCTGTTACACAGTAATACAGTATAAGTAGGTACCAGGTACCGTCGAATGGGCCAACTTGGGAAAAAATATTATCTTTACTACTTATCTATAGTTTCATCTCCATAACGGTCTCTTTTAGTTTTTGCCATAAGTCTGTAACGCGCTACACTGGCTACTCCGCGTTAAGGCGGTCCCACACGACTGGTGTACTTGGCCAATGTTGGTCACTGGTGGCCAGTGACCAGCCGTGTGGGAAGTTGAGCTGGTACAAATGTTGGTCACTGGCCGTTTCCCGTCAATTGTCGGTAAATGGTGCACAAGTCAAAGAACGGCCAGTCATTATGATGTGCATTGGTGACAGTTCCCACATGACTTGGCAAGTGGCTGGCAAACTACTGGGCTTTGATATCAAATATTTCGATAATTTAATAAAGAATAATATTTAAATTTTTAAAAACGTTTGAATTGAAGATTTGATAATGATAATGTTTATGTTTCAATGTGTGTAATAAATTGTATAATATGTTCCTTAATTATAATTGTACCTATATAGATTATTATTATACAATTATTATACATACGTACCTACATAGATATTACCTATGTTATGTGGGTATTAATTACATTTTAAAAATGTTGACTGTAAATAATATTTACCTGCAGTACCTATGGTATAATTTGCCCATAGACCATAGTCATATTTTATAAAACTATTTATAGTATTAGATTCTAGGAGTATTTACAAAATATTTCCGGTTTCAAAATTATCCAAATACCTATAGTATATTTATTTATAGTATTAAATATTAATATATACAAAATTAGGCTCACCGAGAAATAATAATTTAGTATACGTTTGTATGTTGTCCAAAACGTGTGTATTGTGCAGTACAAATCTATATAATATTGTTATGAATGTTAATACTTAATATTATAATTTAATTAAAATGGATTGGTCGAATGAATTGACGATGGAATTTTTGGATGCCTACGAAAAAGAAAGTGTGATATGGAATCCTAAAAACAAATCTCATAGCAATCGAAATCTTGTAAACGATGCATGGAAGAGGATTCAAAAAGGACTCAGTGCATCATATGATATAGCAGCTTTAAAAAAAAAAAAAGAATCTCTGATGTCAACATTTCGGCCTTTGCATCAAAAGGTCAAAGAGAGTATGCGAACCGGTACTGCTCCAGATAATGTTTTCAAACCAAATTGGTTTGCTTATAATAAGATGGACATGTTCTTAAGAGACGTCTATGAAAAAAGAACCACAATTAACACAGAGGTATATATATATTTTATAACTATTTTATTTAACAATATTGATCCTGCCATGGTAACTTACCATTTGTTATAAAATAATTTGCGAATTCATCCCTAATATGTTTTGCCTCGATCGCCGATTTCCTAGCGACTCTACGTATTGGCAATAATGATGAAATGTCCCCTATTTCACCTCGCCATGTACCTGGGACGATTTCTCCTGCATTTTCATAATCCAAAACTCCGGGCGGCGAATACATTTTGGAAGACGTCCTACTTTTTCTTAAAAAGTTATGTAGTAAAACGCATGTCATGACGATATTTGTTGCATTTTCCGGTTCTACTAATAACGGTTTTCTTAACACACGGAAAACGGATGACATAATGCCAAACACGTTTTCTACCACTCGACGAGCTCGCGACAAACGATAGTTAAATACTCTTTCGGCGCTTCCTTTGTCGTATGTGCCAGGATAAGGTTTCATTAAATTTTGGGACAACGCGAAAGCATCATCAGCAACAATTACATATGGAATAGGTAACGTTTTTGAAGGTAATGGTTGATTAGGTGGGAGCATTAATTTATTTTCTTCGATTTTTTGGTATAAAATAGTGTTTCGGAAAACTCCACCATCGCTTATACGGCCTTGACAACCAATATCAGCAAACGTAAAACAATAGTTTGCGTCTACTAACGCCATCAATACAATACTAAAAGTACCTTTATAATTTATGTACTCAGATGCACTGTTAATTGGACTTTGCAGAACTATATGTTTCCCGTCTAATTCACCCACGCAATAGGGAAAATTCCAAATTTCGTTCCAACTTTGTTCAATTTCTAGCCATTCTTCTGAACTTGTGGGCATCTGTATAAGGAACAAAATAAATAACATTTAATAATACACAATATATTTTTGTAATATTTAATGTAGGTAACATTAAATCAAATAAAACACTTGAAATAGTATGTCCATAGTAGCTTGTTTTATTGGATCTTAAAATGAATTAAATTAGTTTAATAGATAACTTTTTATTTTACATATTTTAGTTTCTAAGCATAGCAATGAACGTATTGATTTTATAATGATGTGTGTTTATTTTTTAATTTTTAATTTTTTTTTTTTGCATTTTTTGGCATTTTCAAATGTTATTTTTTTGGAAAAAATTAATTTAACCAACTGTAATAGATACTAATGCCTAATACTAAAATGAATTAATTTAATCTAGGGATGGAAAACGTTTTAAATTTTTTTGTTTTCGTTTTTATTTATTGAGTTAAAAAATATTGTTTTTGTTTAACATTTTTGATTATTACGTTTCTGATTAACGTTTTTAAAAACGTTATTTTCCTATTGTTTCCAAATAACGATTTTGATAATATTGTTTTAGATTCTGAGTGAAACGATGTATGTGTTGATTTTACAACGATGTATTTTTTTTGTGTGTCTGTCATCCTATACATCATACAATTTTGAAAATATTTTGACTCTTTTTGAGCTGTTTACGGACATTTTCAGTTTTCAATTTTTTTAGTTTTTTTTTCTATAAATATCAATAAAGTTTTATCTGTTGGGCCAAAAAGTGTACAATATATTGTTACAATATCAGTTGAAAATATTAAAAATAAATAGGCACGATTTTTTTTTATACGCATTTAAAGATCAAATTTTGACAAAATTTATCAAATTTAAAATTGAATAATTATTTAGTAATTAATAATTTATAAAATTTTCAACTTTTATATCTAAGGATTGAAAATTTAAAACAAGATTCCACATAAGTAGTTAATTCTGTCACCAAAAAATCTAAAAAATACATAGGCACAGTTTATTTTTATAGTCATTTTATTATTTTAAGTTCAAATTTGGACCAAATTACATAATAAAAAACCTAGAATAACTATTTTAGTTATTTTGTTGTGATTGTATAATATCATTCATGGGTACTTGAAACTTCTAAAGTACACTATTATATTATATCTATGATAGTATCAGGGTTTGTTGTTGATGTATAACGCGTAATAAGTACCTAATGTATATTGTGATATGATTAATTTGGAATTTATTATTGGTCAATTTTTTTTAATACCATAGATAAATATAATATAATATGTCTAATGTCTATATATGTCTTATACCTACACTGAC